GGCGGGGGCTTGGGGAATTCTGTCTGAGAGGCGCTAGGAGAGGGATGGGGTCCCCAACGGCCAAAGGCCGCCCCGCGCACCGGAACTGCCCGAGCCCTGGCTGGGCAGTCAGACCTCACGCCAGTCTGGCACCGCCAGTTGGCAGGTGTATGACCTAGCACGATTACTTCACAGCTTTCGTCCCAGTTTCTTCTTGTGTGAAACGAGATAACAGTCACCTCATAGAATTGCTGTGAAAACATAATGTAGCCTGGCACATGGTGAGTCCTCAGTAAACGGTGGGTATGATGGTGATGATGAACATGATCCCAAATTCACGGCGCTTTCTACTTGGGCCCGCCGAGTGCGTTACTGGAGGAAGGTGGGTTCTGGGATGGTGCCAGGTGGTGGGGAAGGAGGAGTATCGTTTCAGGGCCCAAAAGGGGAAGGTGAAGTGGAGGGTGGGCAGGAGGTGGTGTGGGAGTGTCCTGTTTTGCCCTGCCCTCACCAAATAAGGTGAGGCTAAGAGGCTACATGAGGGAAGGGGAAGAAAGGAGGAACTGAAATGGGATTGCCAAACCAGATGTCAGGAGCAGAGGGCCCCCCGCCTCAGTTCCCCATTTCTCCCTGGCCTGGACCCTCTTCAGTCACTCCCTGCTGTTTATCTCTGGGCTCCCAGTCAGTCGCTTCCTTGTTCCAAATATCCATTAGATTGGCGGATTCCCTTCATTCCCACTATAGGGTCGACTGTGGATCATCACACTGGAAAGGTCACTCTGCAAGCTTATGGGTTTTAGTGTTAAGAAAAGGCCCAGAGCAGAGAAGTGACTCGTTTAAGCTCCCACAATAGAGCCAGGACTAGAACCCAGGTGTCTGGAGCCTCCAGTGTTTTTGCTGCATCCCTCGCTTCTTCCAGATCCTCAACCCCAATCTTGGATTGCTGCTGGTTGCCCCCTGATCTCTAGGCTCTCCTCCCTCCGGTCCGCACTGCACATTGCTGCACTAACCTGCTCGAAATCCTACAATGTTGCCTCACCACCATTTGCATTAACTTCAGACTTAGCAGAGATTTCAAGGCATTCCTATTTTGGCCCCACTCTGACTCATTCTCCTCTATCTCCCGAACAAACTGTAGCCCAGATAATCTTCCCACCTCCAGGCCTTTACTCACTGGGCTGTCCCATGGCTGCCCTGCCAACCTCTCTGCCTACCCAGGTCCTACCCACTGCACAGCTTCACTCTGATTTCTCCAAGGTCTGGCTTCTTATAGCCCCCTTCAGGGCAGGGGCCAGGTAGCGACTTATTTAACTTGTCTCCTCCACAGACCCTAGAGACGCCTGGGTACACAGTAGGTGCTCGGGAAGTGCTATGGAATTGAAGAGTTTGCAGGTTATTCCAGCCAACCATGAGTACATCGTGTGTCCTTTTACCATGTAGGAAATTAGATGACAGACATTATGCCTCAGGTTTGCAACTGAGGGTGGCTACAGTGTGAGAAAGGCCTATTTAGTACGTTGTAAATATTTAACGGTAATCGGAAGGGAAAAGGAAAGGAGGCACCAAACATGAGGTGGCAAGAGAGCCTAACAGAACTCTTGTTTTGATGCCATTTCCCCTTCTTGATGATCTATTAACCTCATGGCTCCATTCGTTACCGTACAGGTTTATTGAGAACTTTACTCTGTGCCCGGCATCTGCTAGGTGCTACGGAGGGGACAAAGTCCTCCAAAGGAGACCCAGTTCCAAGGTGCACCATGACAGATGCTATAGAGGAAGTCCTGCATTAATAAAATGCTTTGGGTGTTTTGAGGACAGAGAAATTTCTCTAAGCAGGTGGATTTTTGTGAAGGAAGTGGCATTGAGCTGGGCCCCAATGGATATACCAGATTTGATGGGCAGAGAAGGGGCCATGGGGGAAGAGTATTTCAGGAGGGGCAAGCAGAACAGATGAAGTAAAGGCATGGGGGCCAGAGAGTACCCCTGACGTGTACAGGGGTTATGAGCACCCCCACTGGGGCTGGACTGTGGGATATTTTAGGAGGGCGCTGGGGGTGGGTGGTAGAGATAAGACCGCCATAGTAGGTGGGTCCAGATCATGCATATCATGAACACCACAGTGTTAGACCAGGTGAGCCAGCCTTCAGAGGATTTTGAGCAGTGGTGTGATCAGACTGTGCTTCAGGTTGCAAGGCAGGTATGAGCAGAAGTAGCCCAGCAGCCAACAGCATGGCAGGTCAGAGCCAGCTACCTTCCTTCATTTTCACCTGGGGACGTCTGCCTCCCGCCCCATTCCAGCCCACCCCTTACCCATCCTTGGTGTCTATTCTAGGTTGGTACTGCCTCCAGTAAAGCATATACTTCCTTCTTGGTTGTCCTACCTGTCCACTGCATCCCAGCTGGACAAAGTCAAAGATTTGGGATCAAAACTGGGAGTAAAATTTTTCAGCTCTGGTCTCCCTACTCCCCGCAGTAAAGAGACCAAGGAATGAAACCTGGCTGGACAGCCTCACAAGCTGAGTGTGACACGAAGCATCCCTTCCACTCATGGAAAGGATTAGAGGACAAAGGGGAGAGGGAGGAAAAATTATAAGCACCTTGTGACCTCGTGTGTTTGGGTTTCTGTCAGACACAAATAGGCTTTATGGTTAAAGCCAAGGTGGTGGGTGGGGGCTGGCCTGGTGGCGCAAGCAGTTAAGTGCGAGCACTCCGCTGCAGCGGCCCGGGGTTCACGGGTTTGGATCCCAGGTGCGTACCGACGAACCGCTTGTCAGGCCATGCTGTGGCAGCGTCTCATATAAAGTGGAGGAAGATGGGCATGGATGTTAGCCCAGGGCCAGTCTTCCTCAGCAAAAAGAGGTAGATTGGCAGATGTTAGGTCAGGGCCAATCTTCCTCACAAATAAATAAATAAATAAATAAAATTAAAAAAAAAAAAAAGCCAAGGTGGTAGGTTCGGGGAGGGCAAGGCTGCCTCACCACTTGGAGAAATCAAGATCCTCTCTCTAGACACTGGCCACTAGACACTGGCCACTAGCAGGGGTTAACTCAGAGGGGTGGGGCTCACGAGAGGCAGGAGGTAGAAATCCATCCCAGGGGGGAGAGAGATGCCAGGAACTCCAGCACAGGGCCAGCTTCAGGGCTGGCTTCCTGCCCTCCAGGCTCCTCGGTGCTTGTCTTCTTCCCTCCTCCTGCCAGAGCACATCATCTGTCCCTCTAGACTCACTCACTGACCTCCCAGGAGTAAGAGCCTGTCTTCTCCCCATGTTATAGACCCACAGTCTGGGCTGTGGGGTGCGCAGGCCTAACGACAAGAGTGAGATCAGCTGGCCCTGTCCCCCACCTGCCCTGGGAGGACTCTACCTCCTCTCCCACAGGCTGGGTCCTGGGTGGGCCTGGGGTGGCAGACCCTTCTCAGTTTCACTGAATTCTGGTTCACTGAATTCCAGGAGTGTTTGTAAACACCTCCCACAGCCAGGGTGTGGCTGATGACTCTCTTTCCTCTCACCCTGCCCCGCTTCTAGCTCAGCCTGAAAGAGGAAAAGAGTTTCAGTGGGCCCTGAGCACGTGGGCAAGGCACCCGGCAGGTTAGACTGGACAGGTTAGCTGCCTGAACTCCTCCCAGAGCAGCGGAGCAGAGAGCGCCGGACCCCCAGCCACGGCCGGCCCTGGGCCTCTCCGCAGGCAGCTCCCGGCTGTGCAGTTAGATGCCGAGCACAGATTTGCTCTTCGGCGCAGCTGGGAAGACTGCACCTCCATAAGACATAGTGTAGAGCTGTGCTGGGGGCCAGGAGGCAGGCCATGCGGAAGGAGAGACTTTCACTGCCCTGCTAACTGCCAGTCACTCCCACCGACGGCTCCTCAGTATCCCCCTACTGCCGGAACACTAACTCAAAAATCATCAGGGGGGCCAGCTCTGTGGCTTAGCGGTTAAGTGCGCGCGCTCTGATGCTGGCGGCCCGGGTTCGGATCCCGGGCGCGCCCCGAGGCACCACTTCTCCATCCAACGCGAGGCCGAGTCCCACGTACAGCAACTAGAAGGATGTGAACCTATGACATACAACTATCTACTGCGGCTTTGGGGGGAAAAAAATGAATAAATAAAATCTTTAAAAAAAAAAAAATCATCAGGGGACTCTGGGTGGGCTAATGTGCTATCCCAAGGGAGGAGCAGAAAGGGGCTGGTCATGGCCGCTTGTCTTTCTCCTTTGCCTCAGACTCTAGGGGTGTGGTGACAAATGTCCACACACATGACTCATTCACTGAGGCTCTTGGTAAACAGCCCTCTGGCTTCTCCAGGTCCAGCTGCCTCAGCCTCCTGCACACTCGGTTGACTGAGACTACCTTCCAGGCGTGGGCTCTGGGAGTAAGGGTTTCCTGCTTTGTGGGGTCAGGGAGCCCGGGGAGCAATCCCTGACATCAGGCTCTCTTTCCATGGCCCCAGTGGCTTGCATCATAGATAACGCAAAGGTATTATCTTTCCCATTTGTCACGTCCCTTCAGAGAAGGCCCCTGAGTCCTACGACTAAAAGGCAGCAGAGAATGTGTGCCCCTTACCTTCCCACTTTCTGCCCAAAGCCTTCCCTTCCACCTCTCCCATTCAGAATCGCTTCTCGTTTCCCAGCTTATTTCTTGTACTCCGATTCAGCCCTTGTTTTAATCCCTGTAAGCATCTCAAAGGCAGGAAATGTCCTCACGTTTGCATTGCCATTTCTAGCTCTCCCAACTCCAATAGAAGGCAGTCCAAGTTAAGTAGAGGAGACATAAATGACTTTTAACCCTTC